TATTTAGTTAATATATCCGATCTTGAGAAATTTAAAAAAAGCTTGACCGGATACTTTTTGGAGGGTAGTGTATATTTTAAAGAAAATGTTTCTGAAGAAGTATACAAAAAATTGATTGCTGGAACCAACATGCATGCTAGAATTTTCTTTTTTTGATCTTCAGATTCAGTCTGTGCAACATGATGAAGCCATTGTACTAATAATTCTAAACTCTTTGTTGAATCATTAATATGTCAATTTTTTTCTATATACGTAACAGTTCGCTTTTCAGGTCCAGGCTGACAATGTAAATGTACACCCTTGGATTCATAACATTCACAACAAATATATCACGTAATACTAACTTCATCAAAGTTTCTTTTAGCAATTTCTTGACATTCATGCAATAAATTACAAGTAAAGAGTCCAATACAAGATATTTGAATGTTCTTCCTGAAAACATTCCATAAATGTTTCTTATATCCAACCCTGTGACCAAAGAAATAAAGTTTTTACAGCAAAACAAACAATGACATCGTCTAACTTCACTTTGCTGAATTTCGCATTTGTTTTGCTTTAGAACTATGATTCTTTTGGTCATAGTTAAAATGCTGCATACACACTCTAACGTTAATCGGTCTGCCTCAAATTCTATTATCGCATTTGTATCAATTTGCCAAATGCTAACTAATTGACAAATATTTTTAACATTCTTCGTTCTATCACAAGTTTGTAATTTACCATCTACTAAATCAATAAGGACACATGATGATAATAAAGTTATTGATTTTAGTTCACAAATTGGTTTGCTTTGTTTCTCAATAGGTATTGGAGGTGGAGTTTTTGTTGATATTGATGGAGGTGAAATTCCTGTTGGTATTAGTGAAGGTAAAATATCTGTTGATATTAGTGAAGGTAATGGTAGTGATGGTGATGACGGTGATGGTAAAGCTGGAATTTCTGTATCCTTAATATTATTTTGATAATTACCATTTTCGTCACTAACTATAATTTCTTGTTCAAGCTCTGCTTGTGCTTTAATATATTCTTCTTGGTTAAATATAAATGATTCTAGTTTAGGTAACTCATTAAATGCTTGTTTATCAAAAGATTCCCAACTTGCATCAGAATTATAATCAGAAAAGTCTTCACTTTCTTCAGAGTCATAAAATTCTATTTTATTTAATAATTGAACGTCTCTTTTTGCAAAATTAAAGTTAAAAGAGAAGCTAGCACCCTTCATTAACCAAATTTATTCAAAATTTGTCAATGTTAGTTCAAAAGATTCTTGTAAAAGAAAGCAATTATAGAAAAAGTAAAACTGGAAATAAAAGTAGTCATCTCTGAATTATAAGTAAACCCATTTGATTAACTGTAATACAATAAGTTAATGTTGGTAAAATAGATCTGAAAGATTGTGTATTTATACTTATCTATATGATTTTGAGCATTTTTATTATGATAATGCAAGTTGTCGATCTTATAATAGATTATTTTAATATGCAGATCATCAGAAATGTCACCTGACTGTTAAGAATTGAAGTACCATACTTTGCAAAGATAGCATACTTTAACTCAGAATCCATTACAAACTGTAACGTAGATAAGATGAAGGCAAGATAAGTTTATAAATAAATACACTTGCTAAATTAAAATAAATAGCATACTACACTATGTTATTTAAGATCTTTGGATGCTATCTTTAAGGATCTTTAATTTTGATTTGTTAATGGAATATTAATTGGTTAATTATTTTCAACAGAACTTGAATCCATGTTTATAAATTTATTAAAAATTTATTATAAAAATGTAAATTTTTTACAAAAAAAAAAAAAATAATTAAAAAAAAATGAATGTGTATAAAAAAAAATGTATAAAAATCAAAAAAAGAAATATGTACAACAAATATTTTTATGAAACAACTAATCTTTTATAAAATTAGATAAACAAAAACTTTATATAGAAATTTTATAGAATATTTTAATTAAGTTGCTATTATTTGTTTTATAAAAATGGATCTATCCTTTTTTAATTAGTCATTTAAAGTTTGTGTAAATTTTACAACAATAAAAAAAATCAAAGAAATATTTATAGTATCATTCTTAAATCAAAAAAAAAGTAAAATTTATTTATTTCTTTTATAATTCAAGTTGAAATCACAATTTAGGGAGATATTTTCTAAAAAAAAAGAAGCAAAAAGAATATTAATGATATTTTAAAAATAAAGAAATAAAAATAATCTTCTATACTACCTTACTTTTATAATCTAGGCCAAAATCTAGTCCAGGAAGACGTCCCCTAAAAAAAGAAGTAAAAGGAACATTAATAGCATTTTAAAAACAAAGAAAAACAAAAATACTTATAAAAAAAGAAGCAAAAGAAACATTAATAGCATTTCAAAGATAAAGAAAATAAAAAACAATCTATTACACTAACTTACCTTTATAGTCTAAATTGAAATCCAATCCAAGAAAGTGTTTTTTAAAGAAATAAAGTAAAAGTAACATTAATAACATTCTCAATGACAAAGAAAAAATAAAAACACTAATTTATCTTTATAGCTTAACTAAAATTTAAGTCTAAGAAGGTGTTCTCTAAAGAAAGAAGTAAAATGAAAGTTAGTAACATTTCTAAGATAAAAAAAGAAAAATTTTGCACTTATCATTTGAATTTAAGCTATCCAAGTTAAAATTTGAACTATTTCAAAATATAAAATCTAGAAGAGAAAGGAAAGGTGAATGAGTGAGTAAATGTAAGTGAGTAAGAAAATGAGAGTGAATGAGTGAGTAAGTAAGTATGTAAATTATGATATAATACGTAGTTTTAATATTATTGTAAAAAAAATTAAAACAAAAATAAAATAAATAAAAAAAATTTATGTTTATCTAAATCAAATTGACTGGATTTTTAGTGAATTATCTATCCAATTTGTTTATTAGATATCTGATGGTCTATCTAATTGATCCAGTGATATAAATGGATCAATCTAAATCTGATCAAATTTCAAATGAATGACTAGATATCTAGATTGATCAGATTTAGAGCATACCTCTAGATTAGGACATAGCATTAGTTTTAAAATTAGAACATAATACTAGAATTAAAATGTGATATTATAGTATTAGAGTTAGAGTTAGAGAGTTAGAATTAAAAAGTTTAGAAGAAAAATATGTTAGAAAATTTAATCGCAGATTATAGTTGCAGGGCAAAACCCTAAACCCATTTTGGCAAAAGTCGAAACTTTTCAGAAATTGTTTCGACAGTTTCGATAGGTTTCGACAGGTTTCGATGAAGTTTGATGGGTCACGAAAGTTTTGACAGTTTTGACGGTTTTGATAACAACTTTACGAATTCTTAAAAAGGACGGGAATATATACTATCTCACATAGACTATTGCATAGATCATTATATCAGATGATTGCTCCGAGAATAAAATTAAGACCT